GAGCCCTGCTCTGCCCGTGTGCCCCCTGTGTGCGTGTGTGTGAGCCCTGCCTGCTGTGTGTGTGAGGGCCAAGCCCTGGGTGTGCCTGCCTGTGCATGTGCTCCGTGAAGGTGCACCATGGGGACAGGTGAGTGCGTGTGCCATGGGGGGTTTGGTGTGAAACCTCCCCCTCCCCCCAGTAATTCCCAGTGTGGAGGCCTGGCTGGGGCTGTGCTGACAGACCCAGACCTGCAGTTTGGGTGGTGACGCTCTGAGTGACGGGGTGGCCCCCGGAGGTCTCCAGGGTGTAATGGGGGCCGCACAGCAACAGTTCATCCCCTAGCGTCCGTGCCCCAGTGATGGACGTGTGAGAAACACATGGGCAGACGCGCTGTACTGTTCACCTGGCTAACACCTGGGGCAGTGATCACCCCCTCGCTTGGCCAGGCAGGCAACAGACCCAAGTTCGGGAGTGGGGGGATTCCCTCAGAGCCCACTCGAGGAGCGGCATCCCTGCTCCGCCCTCCCCATGGCACTCAGGTACCATCTGACTCTCTCCTAGCGCTGGGGCACTGGTGAAACTGGGGACCCGACCGGAGCATAGATGGGGCTTGCCAGGAACCTGGCCGGCTGCAGTGCCGCCCTCTCCCACGTGCTGCTGCTGCTGCTCCACATTGAGGTGCTGGTGCATTCAGGTAAGGCCCTTGCGTGGAGGAGAGTGCCCGTGCCCTGTGGGGTGCTGGGCAGGCCTGGGCCCTGTGCATGGAGAGTCCATGCAGTTCTGGGACTGGACTTGCCCCCTGCCTCCATCCCTTGAGGGGCCCCCTGAAACGGAGTGAACAGGTGCCAAACCTAGCCCTCTGCATTGACTGTGAGGCAGGAGGCTCCTGGAGGTCATGCCTACCAAGACTCCCTTACCTGGTCTGCTGCAGCGTCCTGTGCCCAGGCCGGCCCAGCTCCCCAGCGGCTGTCTCAGCCAGCTCAAAGCAGCCCCGCTTAGATTCAGTCTCCGGGGACTTGTTCCAGCCACCTAGACCCTGTTTTTGTGTTGGTGACATGGATCCCTGGAGTGTATGGAGCGGGAGGGGGGCGGGCATAGGATGAGCTCCTGGCTCAAGCGTGCTGCTTTTTGATGGCTTTTCCCTCCTGATTCCCTGGCAGGGCTGGGGGAACCAGATCCCAAGATTAATGGGCAGTCACTGTTGGTGAGCACCATGCAGGAGGATGAGAGCCGGGACTTCACCTGCCAGGTGGACAGCTGGCAGGCCGTGCCCATGCTCACCTGGTACCTGAATGGCAAGAAGCAGGAGACCAATGGTTCCACAGTGTTGACCACCTTGGCTGAGGCCTTTGAGCAGAGCTCCAGCACTTTCACAGTGACGGCGCAGCGCGCAGACAGGGAACTGAACTGCTCACTGACAGACCCGGCCTCTGGCAAGACCTCCAACGCCTCGGTGCTCCTCAACGTGCAGTGTAAGGGACGGCTCCTTGGGCTCCTGCTCCGTGCAGGCCAGGTCCTTCGTCCGGAGAACTCGTTAGAGGAGAGACCAAGGGGCACCCCTCCCCACAACACACACCTTAATCCCATTTTGCAGCCCCTCTGCTATTCCAGCCATGCCCCCTCTTTCCCTCTACAGCTCTGCTAGTATCCCTTGATTCCAAGCCATGGCCCCTGGCTAGTCCAGCCCTGCCCCTTCTCTCCTCCCAAGCTCTGCCTGTGCCCCTCAATCCTGACCCCACTATTCCAGCCCTTCTATATGCCCCCAGCTTTGCTGCTGCTCCTCAGTCCTGGCTCGCACCCCAAGGCACCCCAAGCAGAGGCAGCTGGTCATACAGAGCTCTGAGGTAGACACAGTACCCTGGGCTCCACCAGATGTATTTCGCTGGAGATCTGAGGAAGGGTTGGGCTCAGCTCCCCTGAACAGAGAGGCTAACAAGGCCTCTCCTGCACTTTCTCCAGCCAAGTCCCAGGCACTTAGACACGATGGAATGGGAGAGGCTTCCTTCCCACCCATGCTTGTGTGTCTGGACCAAGGAGGCAGCCAGAGGAGGGGCTGGACTGGAAGGGGTTAATTGTGCAGTGCCCTGGATGCCCTGGCCAGTTGCAGGGAGCCTGTCATCATCATTCTCATTAGCAGCTAATTGGGGCCCTCAGGAGCTCTGTGCTGCCAGCACCTGAGGGATTTGAGCCCCGCACCTGGTAGTCAGATGTGCAGAGAACACAGGACACTGACCTGAATCTGGCACTAATAATAACGAAGCCTCCTCATTAAAGTGCTGCACAAACATGAAATTATGGGTTTCCCTCCCATCGCTGAGACAAGAGGCCAAATTCAACTCTGGCAGAACCCTGCCCCATAGCTCATAAGCCCCTGCTCCCAGCCCACAGCCGTGAGCCCTGACCCCCAGATCCCTGCTCTAACCACTAGACCCCACTCCCTGTCCCCAGCTCTAACTACTAGACCCTGCTGCCTCTCCAGGGTCAGCGTTCACTAGGTTCAAGACCAGGGGCCAGCTTTGTCTTATACACATTTGGTTTGTGTCCTTTCTTGCCCAGTTAAACCGGAGATCATGACGATGAATGCAAAGTACCAGGAGGCCAAGGACCCGGGTCTCTTCATGGTTCTCTTTGTCCTGGTGCGGGCCAACCCCCCAGCCAGCATCACCTGGATAGACCAGGATGGGCACGTGATGGTGAATACGTCTGACTTCCTCATCCTGGACACCAAGAGCTACCCCTGGCTGACCAACCATACCGTGCAGGTGCAGCTCAGCAGCGTGGCCAAGAACTTCTCTTTCACCGCAGCCAACAATGTGGGCATCACCAACTCCTCCATCCTGCCGCCGGGTAGGTGGGACCCTCTGGGAGTTGGGCACGGGCTGGAGAGCGTTGCAGAATCAGGGCCCTTCCCCCACATCTCGTCTTGGTCTGAGGTGATTCACAAATCCAGCAAGGGTGGGAGAGGCTGCAGCCCGTGCAAGCAGGGCTGTGGGACAAGTGCCTGAGTGAGGGGATGTCCATGGGGAAACTGGATGTTCTAAGAGGTTGTGGGGATGGACACTTCTTTCCTATTACTGCCCTGTAGAGGAGC